TTTTACAAGATTCAAAAATTGAACAGTAATTGAGACATCACCTGTGATTGTGCTCGATCTATTGTATTTTCCTGCAAGTATTTTTCGGTACATTTAGCCTTAAGGTAAATGCACGAAAATACTTGTAGGAAAATTCAATAGATCGCAGCACTATCACAGGGGAATTACTTTACCGATAAGTCTGAACCATGTCCGATTTCGATCTGTAAACGGCATTTGACGCTTTTTAAAATAGAATTACGCTACGAAGCCTTTTCCAAAATCTAGAAAAATCTCGAATTTGAAATTAGTTTCAAATTCCGAGAACATAATAAATGTGGCTTTAATAGCGCGATGGCGACATGCTTCGAATCAACGCCGTAAAATCATGCAAATCGGACGAATGGAGCGTCGTAAAGAGAAATTTACGAAACACTCCCCCTTCCTCTTGCCGTTGCGTCAGCCACCCGATTGTTGTGGGCCTCTGTCGACGCGGGGCACGACAGGCAGGCGGGTGCGCCAGCCGGCGGAGCAGGCGGACTTGCGGGATACGCAAGCCAGACAGTCGGTTCGGCTTTCGTCTTTGCATCTCAGTCTATTCTTCCACAGATACCAATTAGAGATGCTATATCTACTATCTGACTGAGGTAAACGGTCTGTAATAGTAGTACATAAGTATATTTTCACATATTTCGTCTTCCTTCGAATACGACCTTAAAATTGTTTGAGGCAATACTCAAATATCGATTCAATTTGGAACAGGTTTATAAAAAATGACTAATTTGGTAAATATAACACCTTATTCCATTCCTCACATCTTATTTTAAATATATTTTATTCTCTAAGGTTTTCTGTTAACATTCCACTTGCTCTAAGATCTTCGGTTTCAAATACCGGACGATTGAGCGTACGCACGAGCTCTTTTTTCCTACAATGATTTTGATCTCAAAGACGTTTACCTGATTTAATGAGTTCATCGGTGAATCTCTAAATTATCCATTCTTTCCATTATGGATAATTGAATTGTTTTTGTTTATTCATGCTAACAATTAAAAAAACATTAGTACCTTAACTATTTAGCTAAGGTCTGAATCCTCCTAAACTATTTTCTGGATCTGCTCCTGACATCAGTGGTGTAGATTTGAGGTAAAGTGAGAGTATAAAAGGCCGATATTTCAGACAATGGAATGGATGTGTTTGGATTGTGATGTTTGTCATGTAAGAATAAAGTGTATTGGTGATAAAGTAGGTAAGTTTGAATATAATGTATGAAAGATTTGTATGATGGTAGGAATATTTCTGTCAGTAAGTATTTTTAGGCGAAGAGAGTAAAATCCTAATTTGTTTGCTTTCTTGAATATTTTGTTGTGCATTTGATTTTGTTCTGATGAGTGGTACTGTGAAGATAATATATTTATATATAAGTAACTTTCTTTGTAGTGTCTTATGTAAACTAAATTCACAAAAATTATTAATTACCGTATTTTTAATACATACAGTCTGCGAATCAGCAATTATTATATTTGATGAAAAAAATTTATACTTTAATAATTGATGTACCACTCCTTTGGTATGTTATATACCTACCTGTATTACAGAACAATCTTCAGTCATGAAATTGTTTAAGTATTTCGATACAATTAATTATTATATTTAAATTTACATGAAAACATCAATTGATGTTAAATATTGTTTGGTTCAAACTTTTTACTAAATTGAAAAATACATTGTTACATGAATAAATTGTAAAATTTTTATATATATAGACTGTTGATTATAGACAAACAAAATTACATTACACAATTTTATATCTGGATAACTTTATATTACAATATTATTACAATAAATAATTTTTTAAACTGTTATTCTTAAAAGGCATTTGATTCCTTTTTAAAATAGAATTTACGCTACGAAGCCATTTTATTAAATCATATCACCCCCAAAAAGTTCTCAAATTGATTCTATAGTTCTGGGCTGTAATTTAAAAAAATGTGCGCATATAGCGCAATGACGACGGTTTTCTTAAAGCCAACGCTGTGTCAATCATAAAAATCTGATGAATAGGAGCGCCGTACAGCAAAATTTGGAAAGACACATCACCCTACTCCTCTGTCCACACCGGCTCGATTTGATTCCTCATCGCGGCCGGCGGCCTGCGAAGCGGAAGGAGGCCGAAGTTTCGGCACGCAAGTCAGGCAGGCAGTATAAACCAGCCGTTATTTTAAAATGGATATAAAAAATGACCTACTGCACGTGCGGATAGCAATGCGCAGAATCCGCCGTTTTTACACAGTTGTAGAAAATGTATTAATCATAATTAATATTTTATTAATAATAATTAATTATGCTTTCCTCTCTTTGCATCAATATATATTGACCCCACATATCAAACTAGTGATGCTGTAACAGAGGCAAACGGTCTGTAATAGTAGTATAAGACTATCCTGTTCACATACTTTCGTCTTCCTTCGAATACCATCATAAAATTGATAGAAGTATTGCACAAAATATCGATTCTGATTTGGAAACTGATTTTAAAAAAATTGGGTAAATTTTATTAATATTCCAACATCTCACATCTTATTTTAGATATCGACCTACTTTACCTCTAAGATATTCCTATATTACTCTACTACCGGAAAGAATAAGCAGAGATTACGCAGAAGCTTTTATCCTACGACTTTTTGATCTCAAAACGACGTTTGTCTCCTTGATAGAATTCATAAGATGAATCTGTTTCCCACGTGAAATAGCCGAAGCTAATTTTAACTAGTGCTGCAACAGAATGGCACAGACTTATCCGTATTATGTCTCAATTCTGTTGGTCTGGGTTGGCTATTCTGACTTCTTTCTTGGCAAAGAATCGTATTTGAATATATTGTAACATCTTTTTTCTCGTGGCGTTTCCACTTTATAAAAGTGATGAACTACTCGTAGCCTGCGTCGTCGAAGTTAAGGATCTTCTGCGAAGATTTCTGTTTTCTAAAGTATTCTTCTGTCTTGTTGAAGTTCCGTTCACTTTAATGTCTTAAATTCCAAGTTAAATATCTTTCACATAATTAATTATTTGTGTATGCCTAAGGTAGACATCTCTACTCGAGACTTTTTTCATTCACAACTACCTAAATGTTCTAGCTAGGGCGGCGGTGAGAAGGAGGCAATGGGGGCAGCGGGTAGCGTCAAGGGGCCTATATGAGGCCAGGAGAACAATGCCCCAGTCTTCTTTGTT